GAGCGACCAGGCTGGCAGTTGGACATCCCCTGAGGGGTCCTGGATTAGATACGGTTCAGGCTGGGTAGAGGAGACCCCCCCTCCATGCACAAATTTTGTGCACCGGGCCTCTAGTATGCATATAAGTTCTTTGGTTAATTTATTCCCACCCCCTTCCCTCTGAAATACATCAGTCTGTTGCATGTTTCAATACCTCTGGCTCTCTTTTTGTTCATCAGTTTATTTTGTCCATTAGATTCCACATATAAGTGAGATCATGTGATATTTAGCTTTCTCTGGCTGGCTTATTTCGCTTAGCATATTACTCTGCTTTCTAAAAGGGTAAGAGATCAGGTTTTCTTACAGGTTTTCTTACAGCTTCATAGTTTTCCATTGTGAGGAATCTTAACAAAGTTTAGGTTTGGGTAGTAAATTAGAAAAGAGGCAATAAGTTCTGTTTATATAGGCACTTTGGCTCTAGATTCCTTAACTCTAGTGATAAGGGTGTCTCTCCAGTTGCAGGGAGGGTACCTTTTGCATGAGAAATTTCCTCCTGCTTTCAGAAGGATGGAGAAAGAGAGAAGTCAGCCTGTTCTTGCATTAGAAGTTTCTTAATTAACCTTAATTTAAAAGTGATCAATATGCCTTTGTGGGATATTTTGGGACAACCTACCCTGGGCCTCAACAAAGGTCAAGAATAGACCCAATTTTAAGGCTGAGACAGCTTTCTTGTGAAAATCTACCCAATACTAATATGTTTTGTATACTTACACTAGAGGCCCGGTGCACAAAATTCATGCAGGGGGGAGGGTCCCCTCAGCCCAGCCTGCACCCTCTCCAATCCGGGAACCCTCAGGGGATGTCCAACTGCTGGTTTAGGCCCAATCCTTAGGACTGGGCCTAAACCAGCAGTCAGACATCCCTCACAATCCTGGAGCGCTGGCTCCTAACCGCTCACCTGCCTGCCTGGCTGATCACCCAGAAACTGTCCCTGTTGTTAGGCCAAGATTCACCCCTAAATTCGGGTGGGGGGGGGAAAATCTCACCAAGGCCCCCCTGGGGGGGGATATAAAAAAAAAAAAC